TAAGCTATGCTCCCGTTTTTTCACTAACTCATGACAACACCAGATTGCCCCATAGGTACCGCAACAGAAGCTGAGTAACAAACCCTTTCTAGACAGTTTAGAAACTCACCAGCCTCAGGAGGTTTGTTACAGTATTTTTCTCCCTCCACATCTGATTTTAAAATTTTATCGGTGCATTTGTGACCCATCTTGTCTTTTCTTCTAAGAAATACCTACTAATGTAATTTGAGTAGGCAAACTACAACCTTCTTCCCATTCGCTCATTCCCCATCACGTTACTTTCAAGTGTTCCCATTGGGGTTAATGTTCGGTTTATTGTTAGACGTACAAGTTGGGACTAAGGTATAGGGTTAGAGCTAGGGATTAGGCTATCAAAATTGTCAATTCCAATTATATATTCAGTCGCGTCTTTCAAATTTAACGACATATCCTTCACATTTTCGCCTTCAACCCGATTGGTTCTCAGGGATTTGGATCAGCCTGCCTGGAACACCCACCCAATGCCCTCTGTTTTCGCTTTTTCCGTTTGTATAAACCCCTCCACCCCTGTTTATAGTATTACATGTTCCGCGCTCACGTTTTAAAAATGCATTGCTGCATTTAAACAAACTAATGATACAAATGTATTTTTTTCAGTCTGGCCTTCCGAAAATAGCCATCTGTCATTTTAGTCTACCCCATCCATAAAACTTCTAACAGCACCAAGTATCTAACGCAGTACCGTCAAGGCCCCTCTCAAAATCATTTAACTATAGATGAGCTGCCGTATCATCTGTACATTTCGGTACAAAGCCTGTTAAGTTTCCACTCATTAGTTGATATGAGTGTTTGAACTGACATCTTTAAACTACCGATCAATAACCACATAATATTCACAAGATGTCAAAATGGGTAGCCTGCCTGATTAACCCTACCTAGAGCACAGGTACCCGTTTAAAGACCGGGTAGGCATGGTTTGCCGATCATGTGCCGCTGCATGGCGTAGTTCTAGGGGGTTTGGTTCGTTAATGCTTCGCATGTGCTTTTTGGTTTATAAACCGCAGTTTAATTTTTTGATTTCCCGAAACTAAGTGCACAAAAATATGAAACTTTATCAGGCAGCGGTATCATTGGTAGCGCTTAGGCCCAGGCTTTTATCTTACGATCAGGGTTAAGGTTAGGGTAAGGGTAAGGTTTATGGTAAGGGTCAAGACCAGTTAAAGTTTTAGGTTTAAGGTAAGTGTTAGGGCTAGGGCTGGGTTCAAGCTTATGTATAACGAAATAAGTAGGTAGTGGTGCACAGTAAATCACATAATCATGATTAGTTTTCTATAGTAGTGCCATAGCCTTTAATTTTGCGTAAGCCCATCTGCACTGCCA